GCTCTTCAATGGTTAAAACAGACACATTTAAAGTACCACCACCTAAATCGAAGATCAACACATTGTATTCACCAGCAGTTTTCTTATCTAAACCGTAAGCGATAGCCGCGGCTGTAGGTCCACTAATGATACGGAGAATATTTAATCCAACAATCATACTAGCATCTTTCGTAGCTTGACGTTGTGAGTCATTGAAATATGCAGGAACTGTAATAACTGCATTTGTAACCTTTGTACCAAGGAAGGCTTCGGCAGTTTCCTTCATTTTTAGCAAAACCATAGATGATATTTCTTCAGGTGTAAATTGTTTAGTTTCACCTTTAAATTCGATTTGGATATATGGTTTTCCGTTCTTTTCAATAACTTTAAATGGCCAATGCTAATTAGAATATTGACACATCATAACAAAATAATATATTAACCTATGTTATTCACAACCAATTAACGTGTATAAATTCCTTTGCAAAAATCTATCAAAATTGAACTTGCTAAAAATTTGCTCTTTAACAGCAATGATAATGTCCTATCAACTGCAAAATGTTGAAAATATAAATATTTTTTTTAGCATTTATTATTATAATTTAATTTTATAAATGTATTTGCTAATTATTATGCTAATAAAATGCTTTGCTAATTATTATGCTAATATTGTCAATATATTAGCAATACTTTAATAATAATTGAGGCCTAAAAATTACCGTTATTTTATTGGATACGTAAAAGTGCTAATAAATTATCAAAATAGTTAACTTAGTACTAATAATGCACTTATCTTGCTTACATATTGGCAAATAATTGCATATCTCGAAATTGTTAGATTTTTGCAAAGTTTAATTAATAATAAACCAATTATTCAAAGTACCTTCATATCCGATTGAACTTCAGGATCATGATATCTACGACCAATAAGACGTTTAGCGTTAAAAACAGTATTATAAGGATTCATGGCGACTTGGTTTTTTGCGGCGTCACCGATCAGACGTTCTGTATCGGTGAAAGCAACATATGAAGGTGTCGTTCGATTACCCTGGTCGTTTGCAATAATTTCAACCCGGCCGTTTTGCCATACACCGACACAAGAGTATGTCGTTCCCAGATCAATACCAACTAAAGCGGGTAAGGAAAAAAAACACATTAAAATTTCAAAATGTTGAAATATTAATATCAAAATTCATTTTATAAAATATATTTACGTGCCAGCTTTTCCTTCTGCCATTTGTAAACTTTATTTATAAATTTGGTTTGCTTTTTTTTATTTTTTTTTTATGAAAGACTTGATAACGCTTGGGAAAAGGTTTTTTTTAAATAAAACGCATATAATTTACTAGGAAGGTAAATCAAAACTGTTTGTTGTGTAATCGGTCAATAAGTTTATAATGATAAATTGTAAGTCAACTAGGTTTTTGAGTTGTTTAAAGGGAGTTAAAAATAAGTAAATAAAA